TGATGAAATGTATGTAACAATTTCTATACAAGGGTATAGAAAGTATATAGGTATATGTACATATGCAAGAACTCTTCAGTCTGGAGCTAAGAAATGGCTGACAGATGTAGGGTTTAATCAAGTAAGGACTATGAAAAGGATGAACAGGGATCTGCTATTCACTTTTTTTTCCCAACATATGAACTGTGAAGAGCCAGATGAAACTAACAGGGGACCAGAAAACAAACAAAAAGAGGTGCTAAAAGTTCACTTGAGTGCAAGGGTAGGCTTAGGAAATCTACAGAGTAAATGTCCACAAAGCTTTATTAAACATACAGAAACCATACCTGATTCAGGAAAGGTGCCAGAGAATATGTGGCACACATGACTTGTTCTTATATTCTTCCCTAGGCAACTGCTTTTGGTTGGACTCCACAGCAGAGCATAAGAAATAAGACTGTCTAAACCCAGAGAGTGTTATTAGGCTCAAGAGTCAAATGTCAGAATGAGATCACATGACTTTAGAGTCTATTAGACTTACATTCTATTAAAGTCCACAAATACTAGAATTTTAACTAAGAAAGTGGTGCTAGCGCTTTCTGTCAGTACAAACCCTTCATTTAATGGAGAAGTTATCATCATTCCCAGTCATTTCTAATATAAATAAAAGCTCTAAAGAAGCAATAGTTCACATTGTACAATGACAACATATTAACTATGCCTGAAGATTTCATATCTTAGGGTTTTTTTCCCATACAAAGTATTATGTGTGTGTTTAGTAAATAGCTGTTTGTGTAGCTGTGTGTAGCATCTCAGAAACAATCCTGACTACTTTTTATTTCAAATTAAGAATGCTTGGAAAAGATAATTCTGAATAGCAGCATGGTACAGTGTGCAAGTTTGGTTAGCTATGCACAACAACACGCCAGGTATGCTAATTGCTGAGTGGCTGAGGGTGTAGACATTCCTCTCCAAGCTTCTGTAGCTAACACACTAGTAGTGGCTGCTACAGAGCTGGAGAAAAATCTTCGTATTCTTCATAAAATTAGCACAGTCTTTCTAATTTTGGCACAGTTAACAGCCTCCTGCTGTAAGGCCACAAACCCAAGACTTCATGTCACACTAGGGCCCAAGCTACTGGCCTAATACTTCTGTATTAAAGGCATTAATAAGTCTTCAAAGCTGCTCAGATCTGCTGAGAAGGGTTGTTCCACAACAGGAGGATCACAATTTGATCAGCTTTTCAGACAGACTATGAGAATGTTCCACAACAGGAGGATCACAATTTGGTCAGCTTTTCAGACTGGCTATGAGACCACACTAATGGAAACCACACTGGTGGACTGATTGTTAATATAACTGCCAAACTTTCTGAACTTTGTTCCTTCAGAGGCATAGAATATTAAGTTTATGTAATTAAAATTAATGGGTTTTTTTTGGTGCAGAGGGAGCTGCACTTACTGTGTCAGTTATAGCAGAATGTAACACTGGAATTGGATATATAGCCAAACAGAACTAAGAGAGTTAGAAATAAGAGTATTTAGAAAAAAACGTGATCTACAAGACAAAAAAAAAAAAAAAAAAGACATTGTGATTTTTTACCTATAAATTTATCAAAAAATTAGAAGTAATATTGAAATTTAAGTCACAGTCATCTAACCTTCTTATGCAAAAGTGTCAGTTCTATAGAGACTTGGATGTCATAGCCTTGGACGTGCAGCAGAGAAAGGCTATACCCACGGGCTGCAGGCTTAGCCAAAAACAACAGATGGTTCCCCGGTGCCTCCCTGTGTTGAAAATACATAACTACATGGGCAGATCCTCTTACGTAAGGGCAGACTGTAGGAAATGGTGTTTACGAGCAGAACAGCTACCGTCTGTTGCTGCTGCACATGCACTGCAAAGTATGGGCTTGTGGTTTTTTAATCCCAGGTCCTTCACTACTGCACTGCTAGAGACTTTCTTTCATCACACTGCTGAATAACATTGATCAAACTGTAGAACAATATTTACATGCAATCCCAGTAAACAAAGGAGAAATGGCAGGAGGTTAGCTAAACAATAAAAAAAAAATCAAGTCATGTTTGGCAGCAAATCGTCCAAGCAGTATTTGTCATCAGTAATCTATTACTCAAAAGAGTACCTAAATGGTGTATTTGATTTATCCAGTAGCAGTTGTGGTGCCAGATATGCTTGTGTAGATAAGGAATTTTGCTAGCAAGGGTTTGTGTACATACTATACACATTGTACTGTACAAATAGCAACTTAGTGATAGCAGATTCAGAACAGGCCAAAGTCTCACCTTAAATGGTAACAAATCTGTACATTTACTGTTCAAAACCTTGTACTGTAACAGGAAATAAAACTATACATTCGTAATAATGTTGAGCAAAGAGATCTTCAAGTTTTTCCATAATCTCTTTGTAATTGTTATTCATATTCCTGCTTATAGTCAGAATTATAAATATAGTTCTTTACTGTCTTAATTGGCTCCTCTAATCTAATGCAGCTGGTATGTCTATACAAGGAGAGTGTTTCACCATGGTTTTCACTAGGAAAATGTGTCCTAGTTGTCTGGGATCCCTCTGTTAGGGCAAGAAAGGTACCAACATATAAACCTGTACTGATGCACATAGAACAGGTACCTTGTTAGCACTTCTGTTCAAGTTCTAAAGCAGTTTTACCTGAACACAGCAAACAGGAAATCTTTTCTCTAGCCAGTTATATAAAACTATCATTATTTCCCCCTTATCTTGGTAAGGGATACAATTTTTTTTAATATCCTTAGAATGCTGATTGACAACACTGCACACAGCACAGAATATTTCAAACTTTATAGAGCAAAGTACACATATTTTATTACATTCTGGAACTGGTCCCAGGGTAGTTCTTCTCTTAAGCTATTTTCCCTGTGATAGAGCAGCACAGAGAGTGTTCTCATTTGTACTTGCTACCCCTGGGCTGCTGTCACAGTATTTGCAAGACCTTAGAAATGTCCGGTGTGTGTCTTTTCCTACACTGCTCTTTCCTTCACAGTAGTTGCAGAGCAGAGAAATTCTTAGCTGCTGCACGTCCTCATGAGATCCCATTTATCTAAGAGACCCTCCTGTAAACAAGAAAGCAACATTTAGATTAGCTGGGAACTAGTTCATAACTAGTAACTTTCACCCTTCAGCATTAGCAGGCAAACAAGGTTATAACATCAGTTTCCAGCACCTCAGCAGACACATGAAACTAGCTGATCATTATCCTACAATGTCTTACTTGAAAAACATCCAGGAGATCCTTCTGAAGACAAAATTCAAAGTCTTAATAATCAGCACATTATACAATAATCACAATCTAGATTGACTTTATTAAGAGAA